AATAAAGTGAGGGCAATCCTCCCCTAATAAGCCGGTTTTATTAGGTGGAGTTAGGCCCAATATTCCTAACACCAAGTTTTTGGACTTTAAAAATGGAAAATGAAACAAATCCAAATTTGTTGGGAAAGAAAGAGTTACTCAAAACTAACTTTTACTTGCTTTTAAGCTTAGCCAAACATGCTCGGCCTCTCATATTAGCCAAAAAAGTTCAAGACATAACTAAAAAAAGATATCGTATCTCTCCATCAATGATTTGCAATTTGCTGACTACAACTAGTGACGATAGAGGTTATTAGGTTAATACATCGTGACTACTTCCGCACAGCTCATCACATACAATGTTTAGAAAGGCTCAATCACAAAAAAACAAAATCATTCAATGCATATCCAAAGGTTCTGTTTTCATCCAGTCCCATGCGCCAATCCATTTTGTTGGTTTGAACGAAGTGAAATTTACCGTCTTAATTCAGATTAAAGAGAGTTTGACTCATAATGGACACTGGTGATCCAGTTCCTTGCAGAGATTTTAGGAGTCGTGATTTAGAGCAAATGGGGTTGATGATTTTAGTATGGGCATTATACTTCGTGATAGAACTAGAACGAAAAATCACGACTGGATGAAAGATTTTTCCTAAATTGCAAATGCCCACATTCCATTTTCATATGTAACTCGAATGAAACATATGACCATGTCCAAGTTCAAATAAAGTGGACATTGCAATCCAAAATTTTACTACAGAATGTGGCATAATCTTTCAGCATTTGACCAGTCGAGCCTTACAAATAGATTCTTTCATAATGCTTTTACTCCAAATAGCACTAAGATAAACATCAATGAAATGAAAGTATGGAACATAATTGACTGACTCACCCGTCAAGATTCTTCTCCTCACAAAAGTTTTTAAAATCAACACATGCATTCTTCACTCTTTGTGCACCTACACTGTAATGTCCAAAAAGACAGATAAAATTTCATAGTGAAGAACAGCTCTGAATTTCTTGACCAGATCTGAATGCAACAATAGTTTTTCTTATTGGCTACTTGGCATTAATTCATATGTAAATAATTTATAATGAGCAAATTAAACCACAAATATCAAAATTCTGGAATTTAGTCAATGAAACAGTGAAGAATATAAAATAGTTAAGCAAAAATTACCAAAGCAAAGCTTATTTCTTTCACTAAATATGCAAAATCGAAATTAAAAAATAAAAAAAATTGATACCTGGAGCTGCTACCCTTGAACTGGTGGACATAGCCATCAACCTTCTTAAAATCTACAACCTGCTGTTGACTATATAGTTTGAAATAAAAATAAATAAATAGATAAATAAAAACCATTAATAAAAGTGAAGGTCTTGAAACACAAAATAAAAACCCAAAATATAGAAATTGAAACTGACAGAGAAGAAGCCAAATCATTCAGAAGTTTTTCAGAATCTTCAAAGAAAATTGAAACCACTTCAACCACAAATTCTGGGTTGCTGTCATCTTGTAATTTCTGCAGCTGAACATACTGATCATCCAAATATGCCTTTATCACACCAAAAAAAAACCCATGTCAACCCAATTTTGTTTTCCATCATTTCTTGAAAAAAAAGGGAAAAAATATATTAAAAAACAAAAGGAGCTACCTCACGAAACAGAGAAGTTATGAAATCAACATATTGTTTCTGCAACTGTCCCACAATTTCCATTTGTTTTTGCTTAGGTTGTTCAGTTTTCTCGTATACACAACAGCTCAGAAATAGGGTCTTTTTGTTTGTGTCCCTGTACTAAACGTTAAAGATCAACTTGCAGATCTCATATATGATACAATCATTTATTTAGGAAAGAAAGTTGAAAAGGATTAGAATGGTACGTTTTAATGGTGGGAATAAAACCTAAAAGCATGGACTAACCAGCTATTACTGGAACTTTGAAGTGATTAAGGATATTTGGAAAAATATAATAATGAAAGATTTTGCCTGTGGCGAATCCACACCCTGTACTTTCAAGAACAATACTTTATTACCAAATTGGCTACACCACTTAGGTGTCGTTCTCTTCGTGTTTCATTTTTTCGTTTTGAGTTTTCAATTCTTTTTGAATTTTGTGTTTTGAGTGTCTATTTTGAAATTGTTGAAAATGTGTTCTTTTTGATATTTTGAAAAATCATTTCCAAAAACTAAAAATTGAAAACACGTTCACTTTCCTCCAAATCATTTCCTCTCTTTCTTCCACCATCTCTCTCTCTCTCTCTCCATCGCGTCTCTCTCTTCTTCCGCTTCTCACTGTCCGTCTCTCTCAATGTTAATGACATTCAATGTTATTAAAGTGTGATGTATTTTAGAAAAAAGGTATTCACCTTTGAGTTGCCAAATAAATGTCTCGCGTAAATGCAGAATACTTCATTCCTGAGAATATTATGGCAAAGAGGGTAACGTAGAGTACATATAGCAAGATTACCTTGTAAATGCAAAGATGTAGATGTTTTCCGTGTATCATTAGAAATTATTCTCTGACAACAAAAATAATCTGTGCAGCTGACATCCATTTATTTAGGATAAGGCTTAAATCATCGTTGCCGTTTGATATGATTTTTGCATTGCTTTTGCGTCATCTAGAAAGGCTTTTCAAAATAACTATCTTAGTTTTTATTTGAAAATTAATTTTTAAAGGAATTTTTATTCCGAATGTGCTTTTAGAGAAAATCACATTGAACCAGCTTTCTTAAACAACTCTTCTTACTACTAAATGCACCATCACAAAATTAGTCAAACGAGTCTAAAAATAGCTTTTGAATCTCAAAAGCTCCTCAAAAGTCATGTCAAACCAGCCTAAATGTATTATTCTACAGTTTCTTTATGCCGGTCAAGAATGGTTATAGAGTCGAGTATCATTCCATTAACAACAATTAGCCATTAGCTACAACATAATTAACAACAAATCGAAAAAGGAATTAATAGTCTAAAATGTTTGTTTCATTACATTTTTTTTTTTTTGCAGCAGATCAACTGTTCACAGTAAATCTGTACATCCCACGAATATAAATCCATAAAACTTCTACCGAACGTCTTCTTTCACGTCTCTAAAGATTTCTATATACAGAATATACACAAAGAGTTGCTCAGCACACACACCTCTCATAACTTGAGAATGAAATTCTTACGATAATAGAACACAATTTGTAGATACCTTAATGCACAAGAAGCAATTAACCTGAAATTGAAAAAATTGCATGATGGATTAACTGAAACCAAAAAACAGTATAAAGAGAAATGAGACTTTTTGTAATTCAATATGTGCTTACCTTATTCAGAGAATTCGAACACGCCACCAATCCATTCGTCGTCTTCGGGTTTTTCCTTCTCATTGGAATTACTGCTACCGCCCTCCTGATTATTTTCAACTTCAATTGATTGGTGGGGGTCACGATTATCTGGCTTATTGCAGTAGCCTTCCTTGAAGAACTGCTCAAAATCTACCGTTTTCTCCATTCCTGAAGGCATAAGAATGTCCGCAACTAATTCAGTATTGTCAGCGTCCAATAATGGGGTCTCGTTCCCAGATGAGCACAACATACTCGTGGTCGTAATATTATCAACTTGAAAATCTACTCTACAGGGCTGTTCACGAGTTAAGGGCATAGTGTTCCCAGATCTCTGGTCCATTATGGAAGTCTTGAGATTGGTACTCTGTTCTCTTCCCTCATTTAGTTCACTCGGAGAATGGCTAATGTGCATTGGAGACTTTTCAATGTTCACGTGCTCCAAATCAAGCAAATTCTCAATTCGCCTGGATGATCCTGACAAAAAATTCGAGATATGAGTTTCACCGCAAATTATAACAGTTTGAGTCATGTGGGATCTTTAAGGAATGAGATTTCATAAAGGTAATTTCTTCTTGTTGATAAATCCAATAAATTCACTAAGTATTCAGGGTGCTCAGCAAAAGAACTAGGGGAACTAACGAATTAATAGGAGACTGAAAGGACTAACCTCCATCAGAGCTTTCAGTAGAACTAAATGATGGTGGCTCTGAATGACAAATAATACTTGCTTCATTAGTCTTCTCTCTAGGATCCGAAGACAGCACATTAGGATATCTTCCCTCAGAAGGCACTGATCTATATCACAAAAAATAAAAATAATTAAATAAAAAATAAGTGCTGACATGAACAGCATGTTTCAGGGGATATAGTTTTTTGTTTTTTAAAGGAGGGGGAGGGGGTGTTTCCTAGTAGAAAAGATGATTTTGAGAAATTCCTCATTTACTTAAAAAGTCAAATCTCATTTTCTTTTTCAGAAAACAGTTGTAATATCGCAGCAATACCACTTCAAATGTCCTAAAACTTCTTTCAGGACCACCATATAACAAACTACGTGATATGTGAGGAAGAAAAAGACGTACAGAAGCAGTAATACCTCCAACCACATTCAAAAAAGTCTCCCATAAATCATATATATCAATCCTAAGCAGCGACTTCCATCAATGTTAGAAATTCAAATTACGTTAATCCATTACTGGGCAAGACGCAGAATAAATTTACCAAACAGGCACAGATTATGAACGTCAAGACACAAAAAATTGACCAAAACAAGAAAACATAAATACGCAATCACCTGTCTATCCAGGGAGTTCTCAAGACAGGGAAATGATCAAATACTGGCAGCAAATCCTTTTGTCTTACTTCAACTTCATGTGAAGAAACCTTCTCAATTTCAAATTCCCCACCTGAATAACATTCCACTCTCGAGGGTCCCATAACAAGGAAATGTATCTAAGAATTCAAAATTGATAACCCATCAAAACAGCACATAATACAATGACCACTAATAATGCTATTAGAAGTACCTTGGACTTGCGTACCAGATAGAAGAAAATAAATAAATACCTCAGTCTTTTGCCATTCTGGTAAACTAGAGGAGTTTATTTTCACTTCAGCATTGGACAAATACCAGTGTGATCTCTCAGGAGACGACAAGGAATCGCTCTTGACCAGTTTCTTTTCCCTAGCACTTTCCTTCTCCTGGAAAACCATTTTCAAGTCATCATCTATCTCAGGATCATTCTGTCCATCAAAGTTGCTCCCAAAAACGCACTCCTCTCTTTCCAGATTATCCGATCTTCTACAAACATCCCACCATTGAATAGGTTCGGCTTTCACCTTTAACTCTTCATTTTGCGGTGGTGCTTGTGGACCTGACCAAGTTTCTGCTTTAAACTCAATTACTTCTATCCCCACAGATGACTGAAGTTCATGCTGAACCACAAAGCCTGATGGAGTGTAAACTAAGATGTGTTCCAAGGAACTGGCCCTTGATGGAACATTTGCAAAACTACTTGACTTGGAACTGTGGAAAATGACAGCAAGAGCTCCAGATGGCACGTATATCTTCCCTGCCATTGAAGAAGCAGCATTGCTTACTGTATTAAGCAAACCAGAGTCACTGCTTTTTATCCGGCTGACCACAGAGAGGGTGCAAGGAGGTGGAGGCGAAGAACATTTCTCATTTACAGCGAAAGATGAAGTAGGCCACCACGGTGGAGATGAAAATGGATACAAGATACCTTGGATATGAGAATGTAGAGCTTGAATCCCAGCATCTCCACCAAAGGGGGATAGAACAAAAATATGGCAAGTCCCTTTTGATGAAACAATAGCAATCCACTGGCTGTCATGACTAAAGCAAATGTCTTGGATGACCTGTTGAATAAAAATAATAAGGGAAGCAGCAGATTACATGAAAATAAGGGACCCCTTGGGAAAAGGAAGATGATACTAATAATGAATAAACCTAGAGAAATAGATGTATACTTACAGCTGTAGTTATTCCCCGATGCAGCTTGTAGAGATGTATATATGAAGTGCTCCAGTCATGGCAACCTGACTCGCTGCGCGTTTGAGAAGGCATGATTCTGAAAATATTTATGTTGTTTCCATGTACTGAAGCAGTGACCAAAAGGGTCCCACTTGGATCAAAACACAAAGCAGATATCGGACTTGTATGAGCTCTAAACTGGGATATAACTTCTAACGAAACAACATCCTTGACAACAACCTGCAATTTACAATGCAACAAGGTAAAACAATAATAATAACAATAACTCTCTCATATAAGTGAAAATCCACAAATATTTAAGTTAGAGCACGGTTAAAGGGGGGATTTACACATAAAAGACTTAAACCCATTTTCTGGCTAATCCACATGTTCAATTAACTGAAAGGGAATATTTATTGTATCTCAGCATTAAACTCACCACTCCAGCATCTTCTGGTTCAGATGTTAATAGCTTCCCACTTTTCCAGCCAGGAGAACTAGAACCATCAGGAAGCAGCTCTGGGTAGTACTTGGATAATTTTTTGTAGCCCATGTCCCCCAGGGTGAGTATCCCCGTTGCCAGTTGCTTGCTGGACTCCAATGCATAACGAGCCATCAAACTGCTGCCTGGAGATGTCGATGGACTTACACTAGATGCCATATTTTTTGGACTCAACCTACCTGTGTTCAATATAATAGGGCGACTAGGAGGATATGCCAACCACCTTGATCCCACGGCCATTGGACCATAGCCTGTGCCGATCACAACAGTTCCTTGCTCTCCGAATCGGGGAACAGGATAGGTGAGAACAGTAAATTTCTTCTCGAGATTGATAGTATCAATGCAATATATCTGTTCAATGAAAGATAAACCAGTTTCATAAAACCATAGACCTATAAGGTATTGTACTTGGATCAATTTTTTATCATCAGAATAAAGCACACTTTAGTAAATAATCAATTTTCTTTTAGAGCTAGAAGAAAATTATTCAGACCGTTTCTGGAGGTATGTTGACTGTATGAGATTGAAAGTCAAGGACCCAAAACCCACAACATGCAGAAACAACAGGGACAAATACTGGAAGAATGCAGTGCAAGTAAAAAGAGAGGGCACAATGCAATCTAACAGTTGGCATATTTCTACATATGACTGCTGATTTATTGGCTGTTGTGACTAATTTACGAAAATATATCGATAATTCACTTCTCACTTCTTATTTTTCTCTTTGAAGACAACTTGTCCTCTACTCTTGTAACTATTATTAATTTTTATCGAAAAAATTAAGGAAACCAAAACCTTACCTGTTCTTCAAGACCCACAGCTACTATTCGAGGACTGCATCTGACCATAAAGACAGCAGATTTAAAATTGATAACTTTCACGTACACATTCGATCGAAGGGAGTAAAATCTAACAGCTGTAGGAGGGTCGACAGAGCTCCCAGATTGAGACTCAGCAGAACCATATCTGCCACACCCGTAGCTATGGTTCTGAACCGGGCTGGGTCTGTCATCCTCATCGCCCCCAACAACAACCATCAGAGGATATGATGATTTGTACTTTTCAGCACCATCACATTTTGCAGGAAGAGGAAGCATCTGTAAGAATGTAACTGGACCATCACGTTTGGAAACCAACTCACTTAGACTTGATGCCTCTTCGACGTCAAAAACTTGAAAACCATTCTGATAACCAAGTAAGAGAACACGTCTGAAGACAGCTGGACCAAGCTCTAATTTGTCAAAGCCAGCCCATAATACCTGTTCAGGAAATGGAATCAGGTCTTGTGAACATTGCACATAAAAACTAATATTAAATTGTTAATCAGACAAGAAAGACCGAGTCTGAAGGTAAAATATGGTTACCAAATGAAAGCATGTTTAAAACTTTGATAATGTATACATTCATAAGCAAGAATGAAAATTCCGAAACAAAGAAGAGGAGTTCATTATAATGATAGTAGCCACTAGGGCTGTCTGTGGGTCGGTTCGGTTCTGAAGAGCATCGAGCCAACCCAAAATTTTCGGGTATTTAATAAATGGAACCGACGGGTCTAAA